TGATTGCCCTCGACCATGCGGCCGTCGGCCTCCATCTGACACGCCTTGATCAGCTGCCCCTTGCTGTTGGGGATGTACAGCTCGAAACAGTGCTGGGAAATAGGAAAAACCAGTTTAGACCAGTTTGGACCAGTTCAGAAAAAATTGGGAAAAAATCGGGCCAAAAATGACCGAAATAGAGAGAAAAAACGGGGATTTTGGGGCCTTTTTGGTGGAAATTTGGAGCTGGAAATAGTTTAAGAAGGAGGAAAAACCAGTAGAAACCAGTAAGAACCAGTAAAAACCAGTATGGACCAGTTTGGACCAGTATGGACCAGTTTGGACCAGTTTGGAAAAAATCGGGTAAAAAATGACCAAAATAGAGGGGAAAAACGGGAAAAAAACGGGGAATTTCGGGGCTTTTTTGATGGAAATTTGGAGCTGGGAATTGTTTGGGAGAGTGAAAAAATTATTAGAAACCAGTAGAAACCAGTAAAAACCAGTTTAGACCAGTAAAAACCAGTTTGGAGCGGTTTGGAAAAAATCCGGAAAAAATCGGGTGAAAAATGACCAAAATAGAGAGAAAAAACGGGAAAAAAGGGGATTTTGGAGCTTTTTGGTGGAAACTTGGAGCTGGAGATGGTTTAGAAAGGAGAAAAAAATATTAAGAACCAGTAGAAACCAGTAAAAACCAGTTTAGACCAGTAAAAACCAGTAAAAACCAGTATGGAGCAATTCGGAAAAAAATCGGAAAAAATTGGGTAAAAAATGACTGAAATAGAGAGAAAAAACGGGAAAAAAGGGGCATTTTTGGTGGAAATTTGGAGCTGGGAATTGTTTAGGGAAGAGGAGAAACCAGTTCAAACCAGTAGAAACCAGTTCAGACCAGTATAAACCAGTAAAGCCCATTTTGGGGATCCTGGGAAGGGGAAATTTTGGAAATTTTGGGGATTTTTGGGTATTTTTGGGGTTTTTTGGGGCCTCCGTCTTACACGCCTTGATCAGCTGCCCCTTGCTGTTGGGGATGTACAGCTCGAAACAGTGCTAAAAAAATGGGAAAAAATGGGAAAAACCAGTAAAAAATGGGAAAAACCAGTATGGACCAGTTTGGAAAAAATCCGGAAAAAATTGGGTAAAGGGGGAGCAAAAACGGCAAAAAAAAGGGGAAAAAACTGAGATTTTGGAGCTTTTTTTGAGTGAATTTGAAGCTGGAAATAGTTTAGGAAGGAGGAAAAAACAGTACAAACCAGTAAAAACCAGTAAAAACCAGTAAAAACCAGTATGGACCAGTTTGGAGCGGTTTGGAAAAAATTTGGAAAAAATCGGGTGAGAAATGACTGAAATCGAGAGGAAAAACAGGAAAAAAACGGGATTTTGGAGCTGTTTTGATGGAAATTTGGAGCTGGGAATTGTTTAGGAGGGGGAAAAACCAGTTCAAACCAGTAGAAACCAGTTCAGACCAGTATGGACCAGTTTGGCTCAGTTTGGGGGTCCTGGGGAGGGGAAATTTTGGGAATTTCTGGGGATTTTTGGGGATTTTTGGGGATTTTTGGGGTCTCCGTCTCACACGCCTTGATCAGCTGCCCCTTGCTGTTGGGGATGTACAGCTCGAAACAGTGCTGGGAAAATGGGAAAAAATGGGAAAAACCAGTTCGGAAAAAATCCGGAAAAAATCGGGTGAAAAATGACCGAAATAGAGAGAAAAAACGGGAAAAAAAGGGGAAAAAAACTGGGATTTTGGGGCCTTTTTGGTGGAAATTTGGAGCTGGAGATGATTTAGGAGGGGGAAAACCCAGTACAAACCAGTTCAGACCAGTACTGACCAGTACAGACCAGTTCGGAAAAAATCTGGAAAAAATCGGGTGAAAAATGACCGAAATAGAGAGAAAAAACGGGAAAAAAAAGGAAAAAAAAGGGAATTTTTGGTGGAAATTTGGAGCTGGAAATTGTTTAGGAAGGAGGAAAAACCAGTAGAAACTAGTAAAAACCAGTTCAGACCAGTAAAAACCAGTTTGGAAAAAATCCGGAAAAAATCGGGGAAAAAATGACTGAAATAGAGAGAAAAAATGGGAAAAAAGAGAAATTTTGGGGCTTTTTTGGTGGAGATTTAGAGCTGGAAATGGTCTGGGGAAGACAAGAAACCAGTAAAAACCAGTACAAACCAGTAGAAACCAGTTCAGACCAGTATGAACCAGTTTGGCTCAGTTTGGGGGTCCTGGGAAGGGGAAATTTTGGGGATTTTTGGGGATTTTTGGGGATTTTTGGGGCCTCCGTCTTACACGCCTTGATCAGCTGCCCCTTGCTGTTGGGGATGTACAGCTCGAAACAGTGCTGGGAAAAACCAGTACAAACCAGTAAAAAATGGGAAAAACCAGTTTGGAAAAAATCCGGAAAAAATCGGGTGAAAAATGACTGAAATAGAGAGAAAAAACGGGAAAAAAGCGGAATTTTGGGGAATTTTTGGTGGAAATTTGGAGCTGGGAATTGCTTAGAAAGGAGAAAAAAATATTAAAAACCAGTAGAAACCAGTAAAAACCAGTTTAGACCAGTAAAAACCAGTTTGGGAGAAAAAATGGAAAAAAAATAGGAAAAAATAGAAGAAAAACAGGAATTTTTGGGGGGTTTTTGAGGATTTTGGGGGATTTTTGGGTTTTTTTCGGGATTTTTTTTATTTTTTGGGAATTTTGGCGTTCCCGGGATGGATTTTTTGGGATTTTTTGGGAATTTTTGGGAATTTTTTGGGGTTTCTCACCGGTTTTTGGGGATCCTCCAACTCTCGGATGCTCAGATTCTCCAGAGGAATTTTGGGATTTTTTGGGAATTTTTTTTGGAATTTTTGAATTTTTGGGAATTTTGGGATTCCCAATATGGATTTTTTGGGAATTTTTGGGACTTTTTTGGGGTTTCTCACCGGTTTTTGGGGATCCTCCACCTCTCGGATGCTCAGATTCTCCAGAGGA